TTTTATCACTTAACAAAAAATGTGGATGTGTTCTCACTTCAGCCAGCTGGAACTAACACTGACCACCATATTTGAACTGAATTCTGTTTTCTTCTAGTGGGATCTTCATTTACTGTATTGTAGTCTCTGTACATTATTCTTCTGGTTCTGCTTTCTTCACCATGCAGTACAGGGACACAAAGACAGATGTGGAAGGGCCTTTAGCAGTTGTCTGGTCCAACCCTCTTATTTATTTTAAAGACGAGAAAAAAATGAGACCCAGAGAAGTCTTACATGACCTGTCAAAGGTCATTCAAACAAGTCTTTTATTTATTTACTTATTATTGTGTTCATTTGAATTCTTACAGTACAGTAACATTCAATTAAATTCATATGACACAGTTTGTCCAGCTATTATTCTCCAATCTGTTTCTAGATTTTTCTTATTACACTGAAATTTTGGGGAAAAGGGGGCTTTTTAATCTTTTTAAATTTTTTGTCAATGACCTCTGTGGAACATAAACCCAATAATGGGATCCTTGGATTGAAGCATTTATGAATAGTTCTGTACCTTTTCTTACATAATTCCAAATTGTTTTCCAGAATGGTGAGGCCAACTCACAGTTCCATCAATGGAGAATATGTTAGTTATCTATCTTCTTACAGTCCTTCTAACCTTGACCATGACATTTTGTGGACAAAGAAACTGAGGTCTAGACAAATACAGTGGATTGCTTCGAGTTATGCAGCTGAACCAGGCTTAGACTAAAGGTCTTCTTACCCACAGTCACATCCTTTCCTTAACACCATGCTACCATCATTCTCACCTGCAGAATTATCTATTGTATATGACACCACCAGTGTGATTTCAGGCAAGTCACAACATTTGTAGGCCTTGAGTTTCATTTGTGAAATGAGAAGGCTGCATAGTGGATAAGGCACTGCATCTGAGCTGAGGACTTTGGTTTGGATTGCCTCCTACACACATTAGTTTTGACTTTACAAGTCTCCTACCCAACTTGTTTCTTATTTTCCAAATCTGTAAAATGGTCTCTAAGATCCCTTCAGCTGTAACTCTATGATCCTATGACTAGTCAGCCTACCAACTTAAGATATATGATCCTTCAAACATATTTAAGTCTATGAGTGTGCAGTTAAAATACTGACCAATTTCTCAATTACTCTGTTAAAGTTAATAGGATAGGATACTCCCAAAATACCCAGTTGTACTTCAAGTGAGGGCAGCTAGGTGACATAGTGGATAAAGTGCTGGGCTTGGAGTCAGAAAGACTTACCTTCCTAAGTCCAAATCTGGCCTCAGACACTTAGTAGCTGGGTGACCCTAGGCAGGTCACTTAATCCAGTTTCCTCTAAAATAAGCTGGAGCAGGAAATGACAAATCACTCCAGGATCTTTACCAAGAAAACTCCAAATGGGGTCATGAAGAGTTGGACACAACTGAACAACAACTTCAAGTGAATAATAGTTTTCTTTTTCATTTACACTTGAAAATTCCCATGGACTATCCACTCTACTTACTCATAAATTTGGGCCCATTTAGGAAGCACAGGATAATCACCTCCTCTACCTTTATAGCAAGGACAGGACCAAGAGTTATAAGACCTAGATTCCAGTGTTCTCTTATATCCTTGGGTAAGTCACATTCCCTCTTTCACCCTGTTTCCTTGTTTGCAAAATGAGAGGACTGTACTATATAATCTCTAATGTCACTTCTGGCACTAGAATTCTAGGATATTTTCCAGTAATTATTGATAATAATCACTCTCACTTCAGCCTCTTTTGGTTCACTTCATATGATTTCTTCCCTAATAAATACATTCATTCTCATAATTAATCCATAAAGTAATCTAGCAAAAACAAATCTTGAGGACACCACTTAGTTAACAACTTTAAATGGCCTGCCTGGGCAATTTCCACAAGTCTAGCACATTGATTTTGCCAAGATACACATTCTTACCAATGCCTCTAAAGCATAATACTTTGGGATACATCACTACAGAACTACATGCAGGCAGGATTTGTGTCCGCAACTTAAAGGTCTATATAGAGTGTTATCCTCAGCAAAAAAGTGTGTATTGAATAAATTTGGAGGATCATGAGCACTGGAACAAGGGAAGATTCTTTTTAACGGGAGGTAGAAGGAAGCATTGTTTTTAGTCTTGTTTTCTTCAGATTCAGAGATTTTCTAATTCAACTGAGTATAAAATGTGAGTCCATAACCAATCAATACCAATTTTTATGACTGCTAATTATGTAGTTCTTCATTTATGAAACATCTCATGCTTTCAGCATACAAGGGAAAAACACTGAATTATTCTAATAGTTATATCCCCAAAGTGAAAGAAGCTGTTTGTAGAACACAATGGAGAGAAATAAATGGAAAGGAATGAAAAGACTATTAGATTTGTAAGCTTCTTATGTCAAAGACTCATTTTGGGGGTTTCTCCAAATACAACTCTCAATTATTTAGATTTATTATCTCTAACTTGTGAAAAGCTGTCCATCTACCTCAACAAATACTTCTTTGATGCCTACTGTACTCAAAGCACTCAGAGAGATACAAACATGAACAGGGCAGTCTTTGTGCTTATGGGGCTTATTAGCCCCAGGGCAGATTAAAACAAAATACAACGCATAGTAATACCGTAAGAAAGGTATAAACCAACTGTTATTAGACTTTAGAGGGGAGAAGGCACATCCCAGTTCAAAGGTCATGCTGGGTTTAATGTAGCAGGTAGAACCAGAACTAGGTCTAAAGAATTAGTAGGATTTTGATACCTGGACAATTTAGACAGAAGAAAGCCTAAGGGAAAGTGCAGAGGAAGGAAAAGACCTGGTGTGTTTTGGTAGACAGCAAATGGTACAGTTTGGCTAGATTAAAAACAATGAAAAGTCATTCAATGTTCCCAGTAAGAAAATGGCTGGATTTCTATAGAACTGATTTAGGAGGGTAATCTTGTAGTGGCATGATAGCTTGAAGGGGTGCAGAGATTAGAAAGTAGCAACTAATTATACTTGTATTAGTTAAGGGCTCTGTGCTAGGGCCCCTTTTCTTCTTCTATGCTATTTTGCTTGGTGATCTCATCAGCTCGTTCAACTCTCATCTCTATACCAATGATTCTCAGGTTTGGCCAGATCTAACCCCTCTTCTAACTCTCATGGTGATTTTCAACTGCCTACTGGACAGGTATCTCCAACTGGATGGGCTGTTGATATCTCAAACTCAACCTATCCAAAACAGAACTTATCTTTACCCCCAAACCCTCCCCTCTTCCTAATTTTCCTCTTCTTTTTTTTTCTTTCAGGTAACCTACCAGTTTTCAAGGCCGGCAACTTGTGTGTGTCATAGACTCCTCACTCTAACCACACCCTTTCCCCTCATATTCAACCAGTTGCCAAGTCCTGTTAATTCTACATGTGTAACATCACTCCTCTGACACTGCCACTATCCCTGTGAAGGCTCTCAACAACTCACATTTGGGCAAATGCAACAGCCTTCTCATAGGTCTCTCTGCCTCATCTCTCCCCACTCTGGTCCTTCCTCCACTTAGCTTTCAAAGTGGTCTTCCTAAAGTGAAGATCTGACCAAGCTGCCCCCTCCTCCCACCCTATTCAATTCCTATCACTTCCAAGATAAAATTCACAACTTTTTATCGTTAAAGGTCTTTCACAATGTGCTTCTCCCTCTCCCAGCACCTTTCCAGTCTTCTCATATTTTATACTCCTCTTGACAACGAACTCTGGGATCCAGTTATACTGACCTCCTTGTTGTTTCCCCCAAAAGACACTCCATCTCTCAGTTCCGGTATTTTCACTGGCAGTACCCCCCAATCCTGGGAATTTTCTGTCTCCATCTCTACCTCCTGGCTTTCCTGGTCTCTTTCAAGTTGTAGCCAAAATCTTACCTTCTACAAAAAAACATTTCTGAACTCTCTTAATGCTAGTGCCTTCCTTGTAAGATTAGTTCCAATTTATCCTGTATATACCTTGCTAATATATGGTTGGTGGCCTGTTGTCTCTACTAGACTGTGAGCTTGAAAGCAGGGAATTTTTTGGCCTGTCTTTGTATCCCCAGCACTCAGCACAGGGCATGGCACATAGTAGGCACTTAAATGCTTGTTGACTTGACTTACTAAATGTATATTGACTGTAAATAAAGGCAGAAAGGCAGGAGGGAGCACGTTAGTGTGTACCCATAAAACGGAGAGTAATATAAGGAATCTAAACATAAAATACCAAACCATAGAAAAATTAGAGGCTAATGGAAGTTTTACTCTCATAATTATGGAATGAGGAAAAATTCATAACCAAATGATGGCCTGAAGAGAAAACTGACAATACAATAGATGAAAACAATGCAACCAGAATCAGAAGAGAAAGACTAGGGAGTGGGGGTAAGAGTAACCTTTCATATTAAAGTCTGACAGTAAAAATCTATAGATCTCCCAAATTGTCACAAATGCATATAATCACAAGCCATTCCTTAATAGTTTTCAAAAGAAACACAATCATAATCATCTGAAAAATGTGCAAAGTCACTAACAAACATGAAAAGGCAAAAACACTCTGACGTATTTATTACTCAGCAAACTAGCGAAAGTCCTAGATGATGGGAAAATCCAATGGCAGAATGATTTTGGGTTGAGGGTATGGTAAGAGAATTTCTGGGTCAGACCTTTTGCTGGATAAAAGAAATACTATGATGCGAAACTCTGGTTCAGGTTTCTTGCCACCACTGTGACGAGAAGAGGACACTGCCCCAGTCTCTGTTTCCAGGTTTTAGACATTGTTCCTGGAAACTCAGAAGGTCATAACACCTGCATAGATACAGCTGGTCTTGGAAGCAGGAGGACCTGAGTTTAAATCTAGCCTCAGACACATGATACTTTACTAGCTGTGTGACCCTGGGGCAAGTCACTTAACCCCAACTGCCTCACCAAAAAAGGAGAAAAAAAAAAAAAGAAAAAGGATAACAAAAAGTTGAAAACAAAATACACACCAAATGATCAGGGAATGGTTGAACGCACTATGGTGTATAAATATAATGAACTAATATACTGCGCTGTAAACAATGACAAATGTAAAGAATTCAGAGAAACATGAGAAAAGGCAGAGGTAAACAACGTACACAATTTCTCCTACAACAAAAATTAAGTCAATGAGAAGCAACAAATCGTGGTAAAATACAATGGTTAACATTCGTACTATAAAGTTAAAAGGCATATCTCTCTTTCTTGTTAACAATAAATCTGGCTTCTTGGCCATGGAGGGAATACATTTTGTAAAGGGATTCATTTGAGTATTTGTTGGGAAGTATCTATTGTATCAAAACAAACACATCAATATATTTTTCTTCTGCAACAAAATCTTAAAGCAAAAGACACCCTCCCCCCCCCCAAAAAGGACAAGCTCATCTCAAAATCAGTATTACAAAAGTTTCCTCAGAGGGCAAATTTTAATATGCTCCTAAACATACTATTTATCTTGAATAGTAATATGGAAAAAATAAATTACTGATACTGTTTTATAAAAAGGCATAAAAATATTTAAAGAACAAGAGATAGAGATAAGGTGAAATTTCAATGAATTAAAACATTGTCAACTATTTATGTTCTCCACAACGTCCTACTTGCAAACAGAGACATGTCATTCCTCTATTTTTCATTTAAACAAAATTAATTGATGCCAAGGTTATTACTAGTGGTTCACTGGTCTGTTTCCTTTTTTACTGACTGGGACATAAATAAGGTTTATAAAATGATTAATTCCAACCTAACATTCAAGCAGGGAGCCTGGTGAAATATTTTCTTCATGACTGTTGGTGACAGTTGATGAAAGGAGAGGCTTGGGGCAGTGGAAGTCAAGGCGCCTCTTTCAGTCAGTCCTCACACTTGGCTTTTTTGCAGGCTGGAACACTGTCATCTTCTTCAGTTGTTCTTGGCTTCTTTGTTGTATAAATAATACCAAAAGCAGTCTTTCTGGTTTCTAGAATTAAAAAAACAAACAAACAACATATACACTGCTGTCTGAACTTAACCTGTGAATGAAACAAGCTAATAAAATATCAAGATCCTACTAAGAGTTATGATGGTTGGAATGAAAACTGCTATGGGCCTGATGACAGTCACTAAAACGAGGTTTCACCAGCATTAACCAGACACTTTAAAAGAGACCCATCATCAACTACCACTTTATCATCATTATCTGAATACGAGCACCCTAATGAATTTTAAATTACCTGCAAGGAACAAACTAAGGGACGAGACCTTTTCTTAGTTGTTTAAATAAGGTCAGCCTTACTTTTAAGTACTATCATACACCCATTTAAACAGGGATACTGATTCATGCATGCAGTGTGATCAATGTTCCAAATTAAGGTAACCTGACACAGTAACACAGCATACCAGGCTTCTATAATCTAAGCCACATTTTTAGTGACACGGAGATGGCTACAGGTATAAAGCACAATCTTGGGCACCCTTCTCATTCCTTTTCTTCATCTCTCCCCCATCTCCCCCTTTCGTACTCTGTACTCTCATGCTGACCCCTTGCTGTCCAAAGTCACTCTCTAATGTCTGTCTATTCCTGAGCTCCCGAGAATTCCTGGATAAAGTCACAAACCATATGGACTCACTCACTACTATGGGACAGTCCACATGAACAATATGCTTACTGAACGCACACTATCTATGGCACTTCATCAGGTGTTATAGGCACAAAGAAGTCTATGAAGGGCCCTGATCTCAAGGGGCTTACTTCAGGGAAAAACAGATGCCACTTACACAGTATTTAAGGTTTTCAAAGAGCTTTCTTTCAATCACCCAGCAACTAGTGTACTATACTGTTATTCTATTTTATAGTCAACAAGCATTTATTAAGTGCTGTCTCTGTGTCAGGCACTGTGCTAAGCACTGGGGATAGATAGGGTCAGAGGAGTTAAGTGACTTTTCCATGGTTACACAGTCAGCAAATTTCTGAATTTGGGGCTTACACCCAGTTCTTCTAACTCCTATGTATGATGCTTTTTTCCTTATACCAAACTGGGAGAGGTACAGGGTTCATGGTGGGAATACTGGAAAATAATATAGGGACTAAGTTTTAAAGGGCTTTGAATGCCATGTTAGGGAAATTAGATTTTATCCTCTTGGTAATGGAAAGCCTGTCACTCTCTTTGGCCATACTATTTCCTCTGCTGGGAAGGTCTTCCTCACCACTTATTAAGCCCATCCCTTCCTTTTAAGGCCCACCTTAAATTCTACTTTAATCATGAGGCCTACCCCAGTCAGCAATTTTTAGTAACTAGCAACCCACATAGCATTTATGGTCTGTCCCAGTCATTTAGCACAGATACTACCTCGCATTACTGATTGTTCTCTACACCTGCCTATTTTACAGTTTATGTGTTTCCTAAGAACCCAATGAACACCCTTTCAGTAAATGTTAGCTGTGGACGACAACAGATCTGTTTAAATGTTACATTTTCAATGAAAAGATTGAAAAATGACAAAGAAAAACCTCAGTGCTTCCTTACCATTTAGCCTGGTTAACTTATTTGGGTCTAATATACCTTCATCCATTTAAAGGCACTTTGACTTATATTAAAGATACAATCTCATTCAAGGTCATTAAAATACCATACGCAATTATGGACTAAAGAGTTCTGAAATAAATGGAAAATTCTAATGATTTCCATTTTCCTAAGTGGAAAATAATGTTGAATTTGGAAATGTTTATTCATAACATCAAGACCATGAAGAATAGAATACAAACAGCTAAATAAATGGATAGTGTAAAATCAAAATTGTAAAAGTAAAAATGTAAAACTCACTTTTAATAAAACAGATTACTTTAATTTTATCTGTAAAATGGTTCTAATATCTATTTTTTACCATGTGAACTTACTCCTTAACCTAAATTGATTTAATGCAAACAAAAGTACTCAACTTCAGTATGTGAATCATTTTAGGAAATTTCAGAAATTATCTCCTTTAAAAATAATTTTATTTTAGAAACAGTCTGTAACTCACCAAGCCTCAATACTTTTCTTCCTACAGCTCTGCAGGAGGATTTCTCTGTTAGCATTACTTTTTTCTGGTCCACCTCCATTTTTGCATCATAACAGTCCCTTCACCTTTATATTTCAATCAACTATGTTATTGCAGGTGAGCAAATAAAACAAAAAGCACTTTCTCACCATGCTAAGTTTTGTCAAAGGAACAGTCTTGTAAAGAATTTACTGGAGAAAAGTTTTCCGGAAAAGGTTTGTGAAGAATGAAATAATACAGCATGAAATTAGCTTATTATGGAGCAGAAAAGATTCTTTTTTATTCTGCTAGTGCTTCCAGGTTTGGATAGAATCCTTGCAAGAAAAAATAAAGAATCTGATCTCAAAAGTGGCAAATTTTGAAAATGTAGTTCTATCTTGGTTTTATGAACTAATTTTTGAATAATAATCAAGATTCATTACATCATATGCAGGAAAAAAGGTTAGAATGCTTTTTTACATATACAAAGTACAGGTTAATTTGCACAACAACTCAATTACATTGAAACTGTTAGCGGTTGGTAGATTTTTTAAAATCGTTTTTTTGGACTTAAAGTGCTAAGCTGCAACAAAATATTTAGCATGAATATTTTTCTGTGCCACCCTGAGCACAAACCAAAAAAAACAACAACAACAACAACAAAAAGCCCACAAAAACCAGGCTGAATGTTCTAGTTAGCATAAGTTTATTTATTGACTTTTTTTGGGGGGGTTCAGATGTGTGATTTCAACAGGGTAGACTAGTTGTGTCAAACTTGAATAGAAATGGATCCCTGTCTATGGTATACTGGCTTAGAAAGCCACAAATTAACATTACTTTTGTACTTTTATTTTGTTAAACATTTTCTAATTATATTTCTATCTGGTTTTTCTGGCTTTCTGGTGTAGAGAATTCCTGATAAGCGAATCCTTCTACCACTGAAGATCAGCTGTTCTGTCATTTATATTTTTGAAATTGTCCTGAGTTCAAGTTTGTCTCATACACTGGCTGTATGACTGTGGACAAGTCTCTTAGTGTGTAAAACATCAACTTCTTTAGTGACAGAACACTATTGTGCTATAAGAAATGACGAATAGGATGCTTAAAGAAAAACCTGGAAAGACCTACACGAACTGATACAAAGTGAAGTGAGCAGAACCAGAAGAACACTGTCATACTAACAGCAATATTGTATAATGATCAAGTACTAATGACTTAGTTATTCCCGTCAAGACAAAGATCTAAGACAATTCTGAAGAACTCATGATGAAAAATGCTATCTACCTCCACAGAAAGAACTGATAGAGTCTGACTGCAGAGTAAAGCTTACTATTTTTTTTAACGTTATCATTTTGCTTTCTCAGTCTGCATTTTCTTTTGCAACATCGCTAATATGGAAATATATTTTGCATGACGGCACATGTATAACCTTTATCAAATTGCTTGCCTTTTCAGCGATGGGGGAGGAGAAGGAGTTGGGACAGAATCTGGAACTCAAAATTGTAGAAAATGGTTAAAATTGTTTTTACACGTAATTGGGAAAAACAAAATATTAAAAATTTTAAAATAGTCTTTAATACTGATTTTTAAAAGTCTGAAGAGAAGTTTTTTTTTTTTGGAAGAACTCTTATTTAAATAAACTGCTAAAATTCAGGCAAAATGGCTTCAATTTATTGGGTACAGTGGAAAAGCACTCAATCAATAGTAAAAAAAATTTTGGTTTGAATCCTGGTGCTGTCACTCCCTGTGTGATTCTGGACCCCAATTTCCTCATGTAAAATGAGAGGGGTTGTCTGGACCAGATACCTACCCCTAAGGGCCTTCCAACCCTAAATCTATGAGCACATGAAAATGCTACCTTTCACATAAGCAGATCTTTATTCGAATAAGAAAGACTGAGAAATGTGCTTTATTTTTCAGGCTCCAACTAATGGCTCATTAATTTTAATCAATACTGACTTCTGGCCAAGATGGCTCCCTGAATGGAGGCAGACAGTCCAGTTCCCATATACCTATGCTAGTAAAAACCTGAAATTCACACCAGACTGAATAATGACCAACAAAATCAGTAAGATTTCACTATAATAAGTGACTTCTTCCACTCTAGCACTGCCTAAGAAGTCAGCCAAAAGCACCTGGGCAATAAGAATGGGGGCCGTCAAAGCTGGTAGCTTTTTAGAGTGAACAGAGGCAGGCTACAGACATGTATTACTCTTCTGGCTCTGTGTCCTGGAAGACTCAGGGAATGGCAGTGACTAGTACAGCATGGCAGTCAATGCTCAGCCCCAGACAGATATCGAAGGAACTTTGAGGCTCTGAGAACTCTGTCCTGAGATGCCAAGGAGGATCCTAAAACTCACAGCATCAGGGAGGCTAAAGCCTGGGCAGCAGAGTCAGGGCAAGAACCCAGGTGATCCAGGCTAGGACCATGTAGAGGCAACCATCCTACCCAAAAATGCAGCATGGGATCAAGTCTGGCCTGAATTTTTCAAGAACAAAAGCTGGAGAGATGAGTAAAACAAAGAAGACACTGGCTAGTATAAAAACCTTACTGCATATCTAGAGATGCCCCAAAAATATAGTCTAGAAGAATAACTCCTCATAACTACAAATGAAGGTTCAAAGGAAAAAATGGACTTCTCATAAGAACTATATGAATATTTAGAAGAAACGAAGACAGGAAGAAATATTAGAATTAAATCAAAAGTTTGAAAAAATAGATGAAAAATAAGATATCTGATATTAAAAACAACTAAAATAGAAAAAAAAAACAAGGAGACATAATGGAAGAATTACTGGACTCCCTAAAAACCCTAATAATTTTAAAAGTCAGGACACAATATTTCAAGCTATCACAAATGAAACTGCCTAGATCTATTAGAAACATAGAACCAAGTGAAGACAAAAAGATTGTCTCCTGATTCAATCAAGAAACATTTACAACCTCAAGGAGTTTAGAATCTAGTAGGAGAGACAACATGCAAACAAATATATACAAAGCAAGCTATATACAGCATAAAAAGGAAATAATTAACAAAAGAAAGGCACTAGAATTAAGAGGGGTTTTGAAAGCCTTTCTGTAAAGGATGGTATTTTATTTATTTATTTTTTTAGGCAATTGGGGTTAAGTGACTTGCCCAGGGTCACACAGCTAGTAAGTGTCAAGTGTTTGGTCTGCGGCCGCATTTGAACTCAGGTCCTCCTGACTTCAGGGCCGATGCTCTATCCACTGCACCACCTAGCTGCCCAAGGATGGTATTTTAGTTAGAACTTAAAGGAAGCCAGGGAGGTTAACTAACAGTCAGAGCAGAAGAGGGAAAGCATTCCAGGCACAGGGAAAAGCTATAGAAAATACATGTAGCTGAGAGGGAAGTGTCTCTTGTGAGAAAAAGCCAGGAGGCCAGTGTGTGAGTTCCTTCAGGACAGGGACTGTCTTTTATCTCTTTTAGTATCCTCAGCATTTAGCACAGTTCCTGAAACACAGCAGGTGCTTAATAAATGCTTATTGACTGACTAACTACTATTAGCAAATACACGTATCTTAGTGGAAATCTCTGGCATTATCTGAACAAAAACAAAACCAGAGGCACAGAAATTTAAATGCAAATACATTTCAAGTCTATGAAACAGCATACCACTCACCTCCATGAAGAAGTGTTGCCCTGCAATTTGTGGATACTGCTGCCTTGGCATCACTTTCAGAGAGCCCAAACAACAAGCCTCTGCCAGGTTCATTAAGGGTTTCAATATCACACCAACAAAAGATGACTTAACATGGGTCAGAACTCACAAAAATAAAATTCAAAATGTGAGTTTATCTAGTCATATAGGAAACACAGTTTTCTAAGTTTGTTTGTTTTTTTTTAAACCATTAATTAGCAGTCTCCATCCATCCATACCCTACCAGTACATCCCCTCCAAAAAATCTTGGACTCTTTGAAGAAAGAGAATCAGTAAATCTAGAAAATAAAACTATTTTAAGGAAGCACTTCTCTTTGGTCCATTTTTTTCTCTAATGATCAGCAGAGTTTCACCAGAGGCTTGACTAGAATGATTGGCTTCTTAACATTTTCTAACTGTGAATGTGTAGCATATTTTTTAATCCTCAAATTAAGCAAAAGCAGTAACTGTTAAATAACTTGAATATAGAATCAATAAACTACAACCATCCTAGAAAAGGTCAAGAATTTAAATAAGGCATTGAGAAGGAGAAATATTTTAGACTACATTAACATTTCTACCGACTAAGCCAAAATCTGCATTAATAACAATGGTTTTAGAAAAGGATACAAGTTTGCTACATCATACGGTCCTCTTATTTCTAAAGGCTGAAAAACAAAAGTTTTTAAATTGTGATAAAGTTATTTATACCAATTCAACAGCTTGCTTTGTAAATAATTAACTGGGCACTCAAAAGGCAAGTTAGGACAAGAAAACTAACTGTACTACAGTCACCACATAGGCTGTGACGTTCCTAATTCTGACTGTAAAGGGATTGGATTTGATGGTCTCTAAGGTCCCTTCCACTTCTAACTCTAGGGTCCGACCAGACACCCCCAAATTCCTTGAAATTCACATGGAATGAACAGTCTAATATCGAGGCAATGTTACTAAGAGAATAAAGGGCTTTAAATAACACATATTTATGTATTAACTGTCATTTCTATACAACGTCTGGCACACAGCAAGTGTTTTAATACGTGCTTTTTGACTGATACTATCTCATTTAACCAACTTAGATACAATATCTGACATTTATGTAATACTTTCCAGTTAACAAAACATTTCCCTCTACTATAAACCTGTGAGGAAGGGAACCTAAAAATGATCTCCACTTTATAGATGGGGAAACTAAGAGTCAAAGGGGCCAAGTGACTTGCCCAGACCTGGCACTTGGATCTTCTGATTTCAAGTGCAGTGAGGGCTCTTTTCACTCAGATCAGGTACCTTGGCGTTGATAATGTTGCTAGTTAAATTTTTTTCTTTAGAATGTAATATTTAAAAAACTTAAGCCATGACAAGAAAACAAAATATGCAGTGCCACTTACCCTTTCTGCACCACTAGATACAATTATATTCTACAAAACAAAAATGTCATCAAAATTAATCAGATAAACAATTTAAAATATACCAGATTATTCAAATTCAATGCAAAAACCCGACTTTCATCAGCTGTGGCTCAAACACAGATTTCTTTGGAAAATAAGGTAAATATCAAAGGGAGGGAAGAGAAGAGCATAAAACTAAAGATGGCTTACAAAGAGAAGCACAGTTTTTCCCCAATAGAAAAATTCAGAAAGGCTGAATGAGCTCAAAAAGGTTGAGAAAGGTCAGATGACTTTAATTTAGTCTACTGAAGATAAACACTGTTTCTTATCTAGCATTTCCACTTTCTTCCACAATACTAAATTCTCACTGCAGGCCTGGTGTCTACAGGGTTTTGTTTGGGAATCGGGCTCTGCAAGATTCCCATTAAAACCTGAAAATAACCAATAATGTGATATAACCTGTTTTTGTACCTCAAATACTTGCATTAAGTTACTGGGATAAAGGCAGGAAATTTGATCCAACCGTGCCAGGAAGAATTAACCTGCTGGAATCTGAAATGCTTCCTCAGAGTGCAGACATACCTTCCCTTTGCAGATCTGCATCAGACTGAGTGCATTGGAAATGGTGTATCTCCTCATCGTGGAGTCTTTGATGGCAGGAGAATAAGTAATCTCAAAGCAGATACCTCGTTCAATTGCCTGGACAAAAAAAAAAAAAAGATAAAGGGAAAATACCCAATCACCCTATTCCACTGTACAGATCTGTTTGTTTTTCATTTAGCACAAAATTTCAACAGTCATATCTTAATTAAAGAACAAAATAAGGGTAAATATATGCTAAGGAATTAGAGGGTTCCCTCAGGATAAGCTACAGTATCTCTGGCAGAGAGCTGGTAATGAATGAAACCAAGGAATTCAAATAGTTCCCCTTCCCTTTTCCCCAAGGAAATGGGGAGATGATGACGATGAATTCCCATTTACTCAAGGCTTTAAGAATTGTAAAATGCTTTTTTAACTCATAGAGTTGTTGAAGAAAAGTCTTCTCCATTTTGCAGATGAGAAAACTAAGAATCGGAAAGATGACAGGACTTAATTGTCAGATAGCTAGAAAGTAACACAACCATGACTTAAACTCAACTCTCCCGATACAACCGCAGAGCTCTTTCCATTATACCTGAATCAAAAAATGTGAGCGCTGGAAGGGACATGAGTGGCCAAGATTAATGCATAACCAAAAAGAATCTCTACTCGAGCCAACTTGATAAGTAGTCATGAAGCCTCTGCTCAAAGGCCTCGATCTAACGAACGGGAACCTACCAACTGTAGGGACAGCCCATTCTACCTTTGGAGAGCTCTCATTGTCAAGCCATTTTTTCCTGAAATCAACTCTAAATTTCTATCTTTGCATCTTCTATTGAATGCCTCTTGTTTTGCCCTACAGAGCCAGACTGAACAAATGTAACCCCTTTTCTATGTGACAGCCCTTCAGATCACCGAACAGAGATATCAGCACGTTTTTCTCCAGGGTCAACATTGCCAGTTCCTTCACGCGAGCTTCCCCTAAGAGGAGCGTGGTTCTTTATCATCCTGGCTGCCTGTCTCTGTGGGCATGTCAGCTTCCCTATGTCCTTATTTCCACTATGGCTCCCAGAACTGGACACAAGCTTCCCAGTGGGGTCTCCCTAGAGCAGAGTATAGAGAACCAATCACTTCTTTTTTCTTGGAAGCTATGTATGCTTCCCTAAATGAAGCCCAAGATCACACTAGCTTTTTTGAACACCACAGCACACTGCTGACTCATTTTGAGTATGTAGTTCCCTGAGACCCCTCAGATCTTCTTCAGGACTTTGGTCTAACCATGCCTCTCCCTATTCTGTATTTGTGAATTTGTATTTTTTTAACTCAAGTGTAAGACTTTACCTTTATCCCTACTGAATTGCATCTCACTAATTCAATCCAATGCTTTTAGCTTTTGTCAACATCTTTTTAGATTCAGACTACTGGCCAGTATGTTAGCTTTCTCTCCGAGCTCTGTCCCACCTGAAAATTTGATGAGTGTCTTTATCCAAATCAGTAATAAAAATGTTAAATCACATGGGTCTGAGTATAGATCCCTGGGGCCCTCCTCTGGAGACATGCTGCCATTACCTGCTATACTCTGAATATACTATACTACTATACTCTGAATCCAGTTCTGCATCTATCTAATTGTGTTACCAATTAATCCACATCTGATTCACATAAATCTGTCTTCTCCACAAGGACAGTATGAGATGCTTTATCATGTGCTTTGCTAAAATCTAGGTAAACTATATTCTATGGAATTTGCTTCAACTACCAGTTCAATAACCCTGACAGAAAAGGAAATAAGGTTAGTATGACATGATCTATTCTTGATGAAGTGGTGCTGACTCTTTGCAATCACCACTTTCCACATGTGGTGATCTCTTCAATGACCTTTTCTAGAATTCTCCAAGGAATCAAAGCCAAGCTCACTGCTTTCTAGACTGAAGATTCTGATCTCTTCCCTTTTTTGAAATCAGAAGGTGAAATGTGAAGATTTATTTTGTATTACTGTTTATTTGTTATGAGGGCTTTTCTTTTTTTGTTGGGGAAGGGCAGTGAGTGAGAGAAAATACATTCATAAAAGCTGAGAGGACAATTTTAGCCTCCGTCTAAGATGGGATCCTCCTGGCTCAAGTTTCCCCATTATGTTCCTTTAAAAAGGAACGCTGCCCATCTGGCTACTCCTGAGTCTGGCTATGAGGATTTGATATTGCATGGTTGGAGAACAGTGAATTATCTGAATTCAAGCAAAGCGAAGGATGTTTTATCCTGAAATATTTAGGCTCTAAATCTTGTCCCCACTTCATCTTTTTATAGCAAATTTCTATAGTCAGAGCAAATAGACAGCAAAAGATATAAGCACAATGCAAGTGTGTGAGATCTTGCTGTTTTGACCTGAATGTGTAGTTATTCAATACCCCCAAACAACTGAAATTAAGTCAGAAACATCTTCAGTTTGGTTTGGGGGAAAATTTTCAGTGACAATTTTGATTGATAATTATCCAATTCTTCTGAAGAAATGTGCCTCTTCAGAAGCTTTATTAGTTACCATATTCAAGCCCATATCAATAGCTTACTTTATATCTTAAAAGGTTGAACGTCCTCCCCTTCAGCCATAAAAAAGAAGTTACCCCCAAAGTAATTCTCTTCTGTTCTAATTATCCTCTGTTCACTTTCTTTAGTTTTAGTATTTAAGTTTATTTCTTTTTTCTCTTATTTTGTATTTAAGTTTAAAATTAAAAAAAAAACTGAATGAAGAGGTTCCTCAATAATCCTAATTGGTTTTATCCAATTTAATTCAACAATCATTGTTAAGTACCTACCAGGTGCTAGGTGCAGGCAGCAAAAGTAAAAAATAAATATCCTGGTCCTCATGGATCTTACATTCTTAATTTATTTAAATTATTACATCAAGAAGAAAATGATTTCTTGGAAAGCTACAATATATGATCCATATTTTTAAAGAGAAACAAAAAAGCAAATAATCAGATTTTATGTTCTGGAATCCAATTCATTCTGCTTACTTTTAAACTCCCAAGAAAACACTGGAATAAATTTGAAAAAGTATTAAGGAATGGTATTAGTATTTCTCAAATAAACTTTCTTGCTCCATTGAGTTAAAAAACAAACCTACTAATAACCTAGACTTCTGACTCTAAGAACATTGAAATGCAAACTGTTTTTATGCTCATCAAACAGTTATTCAGAATGGCTCTCTCCATGAACAGGGTCAATGTCTCTGCATGATTTGCCTTTGTTAGTCTTATTGACCAAATATTCTGGCACTGGGAATTAATATTTTTTTCTTAATGAGTGGTAAGAATTAAGAAGGCATTATAAACTCAGAAAAGGTGCACAATACTTGGAATCAAGAACACTGGTAATAAAATCCTTAGAAGTAATATGCAGAGCTTTAGAGAAAAGTGAGATTTAAAAAATGGGTACTTGATTGCTTATTCCATAATGATTTCAACTGAAATTAGCTGCTTGTTACATAAAAGAGAATAATGTTCTTTTGACAAATTACTTTTAAATCTTTAATTCTTGTTTGTTAGTTCTAGAGAAAATCAACAGTCATGAATCAATCCAATAACACAACTTAGTCCTAACATATTGTAGGTGCTTAATAAATGCTTTTTGAATTGAAATGAAAGGTTATATGTAATGAACAATCGAGCTCATATGAGCCCTTCAGCATTTAGGTAGGCAATATATTTCCCCTTTCAATTCAAACTCCTGCTCTCTCAATAATTCTGAGCATCTCTAAGTGAACTAGTCAAATAACAGAAAGGAACCTTAACTGATAACAAGAAAGCATTAACCAGAAGGAAAATAAACATGCAAACAATCACTGAAAATGTTCAATAAACTTGAAACCATTTTTAGGTGTCAATAAAACTGAACCATAAGTAAATTACAGAAAGCAGGCTGTGATGAATTGGAGGGACAGACCTCACAGGCCACCTATTCCAAAGGAGCCCTGAAGAAGCCTCTCTATCAGCATTTGACAACAGTCATCCAGCCTTTGCATACAGACCTCAAGAGGGGGAGAAATCTAGTCTCTCCAAGTCCAGCTTTGAAAAGATTTTAGTACTAGGACATTCTCCTTATACCACATCTAAATTTGCTTCTTTGCTCCTAGTTTTACCTTATGGAGCCAAAACAAAAACAATCCCTCTTTCATATGACCATCCCTCAAATGCCTGAACTCAAAGACAGTCTGGTTGTCCCCTACTGGACACTCTCCAGGTTTTCAATGTCCTTCCTAAAATGTGGTGGCCCAAAGAGAACACAATACTCCAGCAGGGGTCTGAACAGAAGAGAGCACAGTGCCGCTGTCACCTCTCTGGTCCTGGACACTGTGCCTCTCAATATAGCCTAGTTCCAAGACACTGGTGATGACTCATGCTGAGCCTGCAGCTTCTCCAACCAAATATGCAGGTCTTTTCCAGATAACCCATTGTTTAATTGTGCTTGGGGCAGCTAGGTAGCACCGTGGATAGAGTGCTGGGTCTGGAGTCAAGAAGACCTAAATTTTTGATGGAAGAAAGTGAAGAGGAATTAAGAAGTGTCTTGATGAGGGTGAAAGAGGAGAGTGTAAAAGCTGGCTTGAAACTTAACATCAAAAAAACTAAAATCTTGGTTCCTGGTCCCATCATTTCCTGGCAAACAGAGGGAGAAGAAATGGAAGTAGTCATGTCAGATTTTATATTTTTGGTCTCAAAGATCATCACAGACAGTGACTGCAACCATGAGATTAGAAGACACTTGCTTGGGGCGCCTAGGTGGGGCAGCAGATAGAGCACCGGCCCTGAAGTCAGGAGGACCTGAGTTCAAATGTGGCCTCAGACACATAACACTTACTGGCTGTGTGACTCTGGGCAAGACACTTAACCCCAACTGCTTCACAAAAAAAAAAAAAAAAAAAAAAAAAGACACTTGCTCCTTGGAAGGAAACTCTGGCAAATCTGGACAGAACACTAAAAAGCAGAGATGTTACCTTGCCAACAGAGGTCCGTATAGCCAAAGCTATGGTTTTTCCAGTAGCAATGTATGGCTATGAGACTTGGACTATAAGAAAAGCTGAGAGCTGCACAAGTGATGCTTTTCAATTGTGGTGCCAGAGACAATTTTTGAGAGTCCCTTGGACAGCAACGAGGTCAAATCGGTTAATACTTAAAGAAATAAATTCAGACTATTCACTGTAAGGTCAAATACTGAAGCTGAAGCTTAAATACTTTGGTCAAATAATGCGAAGACAGGACTCACTGGAAAAGTCCTGATGTTGGAAATGCTGAAGGCAAAAGGAAAAGGGGGCAGCAGAGGATGAGATGGACACAGTATCATGGAAACAACAAAAACGAACTGGGACATACTTCTAGAGACAGTGGAAGATAGAAGGGTCTGGTGTGCTATGGTCCATGGAGTCACAAAGAGGTGAACACAACCGAATGACTGAACGACAAAAATTGTGCTTGACCTACCTTGGACTTAAGAAGCTGATTTTTTTGAACCCAAATGAAAGACACTGCTTCCTATTAAATTTCATCTTTTTTCATTCACCCCACTATTTTATCCAAGTTTTAGAACTTTAATCTATCATTTGATGTTATCCTTATTATTATTAAAAGACTTATAAATTTGAGAAAGATAACATCTATGCCTTCATCCAAGTCACTGATGAAAATGTTAAAAAATACAAGGTCAAGTACAGTCAAGGCACTCTACTTGTAACATCCCTTCAAGCTGACACCAGACCATCAATGTCTAGAGAGAATAGAATAGTAGGAAGAACAGGACTTGGCAATCAGAAAGACCTGTATTTTAATGCAGGTTTTGCACTCCAAACATTTGTTCAGTGCATAATGGTAATGGCTATGTGAACACAGTGAACCAATGTATTCCATTTTCTGGATCCTCCCTTCACTCTTCCAGGATGTTAGTTCCTCCAAAGTCAAAGGTTCTCAAGCTTATTTTTTTAGTCTGCTGGACTAGTACAAATGTTAGTTCCTCCAAAGTCAAAGGTTCTCAAGCTTATTTTTTTAGTCTGCTGGACTAGTACCAATGATCTATTTTATTTTTATCGAAATGTCACTAAAAAAGGAAACAAACCACATCATCAGAGTTAATGACTGATGATGGTTTTGATGGGGCACTAACAAAGTCGAGCTAATATGAAAAGCTTGCCAACGACTTTTGCCAAGGAAAAAGTTGATCCTTGAGTACTAAGAACTCCTTGAAAGAAACAAGAACCTCTTTCTAGACATACATAAACTGATGCTGAGTAAAGTGAGAAGAACCAGGAGAACATTGTACACAGTAAAAACAACATTATTCAATGATCAACTTTGATAGACTTAGCTCTTCTCAGCAATACAACAATCTAAGATAATTCCAAAAGACTCCTGATGGGAAATGCTATCCGTATCCAGAGAAAGAACCATGGAGTCGGAATGCAGATCAAAGCATACTATTTTCTCTCTTTTTTCTTTCTCGTGGTTTTTTCCCTTTTTCTGATTCTTCTTTCACAACATGACTAGTGTGGAAACATACTTTATAAGATTGTACATGTATGGCCTATATCAGATTGCTTGCTATCTTGGGCAGAAAGGAGGGGAGGGAGAAAAAAACTGGGAACTTAAAATACTAAAAACTATTTTTCCATGTAACTGGAAAAAAAAGAGAATACTATTATGTGGGGGGGGGGGGAAGAACCTCTTTCTAATCCCTACTAAGCTAAGTGAATGTATATTACTTGAAGCATATGTATAATTTTAAGAAGATCTCTAGCAAGTACACACAGCAATATTCAAAACACAACTTGATTGGATGCCACAATAATCAATATGAGCAAGTTGTATTCCTTTCACTCTCTTGTGTCTTTCTAAGATCAAGGATTTACATCCTGTCTTTGTTTCATATGTAGTATATAAACAATTATTAGAGGGCAAAGAAGGGAACTTGCCTTCACCTTTTATTTCACTCCTGAATTATACTTTCTTAATAAGTGAAGATAGGAGTTATAAAAAAATAAAAAATTCTCACCTAACCCTTTTCCATTTAAATCAGGGCTTCTGAATCTTTTTTCAGTAACAGATCCCTCTGGCAGTCTGACGAAGCCAATGGATCCCTTCTGAAAATGTTTTTAAATTCATAACAAAATACACATAATGGAAACCAATTATACTGAAATATAACTATCAAGATTAAAAAAAAAGTTCACAAACCCCAGGCTAGGAACCCTTGATTTAGATATTACTCTAACCCTAAGAAATTAATGAGTTAAATGAAAATCTGCCCTACAGAACAGCAACCTTAGGTAATCTGGGGGTCCATCTGACACCTGTCCTTGTCAACTTGTTACTGCTATTGCTCTGCTTGCCAGAGGGCCCAAATTCCTCTACTGAGGGGCTCTTAATGATTTTTTGTTTGTATCATTTCAGTGATTTCATTGGCATAGGGAACTCTTACATGAGGTAGTATAGTGAAGCCTATGGACCCTCTCAGAATAATGTTTTTCAATGCATAAAATAAAACACACAGGATTAAAAAAGAAAATCAAGTATACTGAAATACAGTTATCAGAACACACATATACTCACACACACACTAACCACATTTACCAAACATGATTTGATAGACTAACTTTATTAAATAATTTTGAAGTTAGATCACATATTTGGTACAGATGTGACCGTGGAAAGAGAAAGAATAGGATAAAACAGGAGACAAACTAGAGGAAGAGAAAACACGTTTCAGTAGAAGCCCAAAGCTCCTCAGGTTTATAGTAATCCAATCATGACATGACTTTATTAGCTCCCAGCTCTTCCATGAGTTGCTTTGTCCAGGGGAAACTTCCTTTTAATAAGGTCATTTCTATATGATACAGTAAAAAGTACACTGGATTTGGATTCAAAGGATCACAGATTTAGAGCTGAAAGATTCATCAATGAGTCCAACTCCTCAGAGAGGTGTCCAGTGCTACAGGACTGGAAAATTCAGGCTTTGGAAAGAGAAGACGCAAGCTTAGACCAGGCTCCACTACTTACTGTTGGGTGACCGTCACCTCTCTGGGCTTCAGTGTCCTCACCTGTGAAACAAGGGGGTCGAACTACCTGACCTATTAGCCTTCTTCGGCTCTGAATCTCTGATTCTAAAATCCTCTTATCTTGATTCGTCAAGGCTTCTCCCTTTAGTCCACGCTCCCTGGGGTGATGAAAAATTCTCAGGTTGTTTGGAGAAAGTCCAGGCTTCTTTACTTCCTCCTCCTTCATTATTTTTTATTTCTTTTTTTCCAGTGTCCTTCCTCCACATTTTGGTAATTATCTAATTCTTTCTGAAGAAATGTGCCTCTTAAGAAGCTTTATTAGATACCTTATTCAAGCTCATATTGATAGTTTACTTTATATCTTAAAAGGCTAAACTTCCTCCCCTTTAGCCCTAAAAAAGAAGTTACCCCAAAAGTAATTCTCTTCTCTCCTTATTATCTTCCATTAACTTACTCTTAATTTTTACTTTAATAAAAATCACAGGTCTGATCAAAGTATGACACTTACCACATTAATGGGAGGTCTTCTGAAGTAAAATGGCAATTTTTCTGTTACTGTTATGCATACCAAATCCACATCTAAACTTGTGCAAGCAACCTGTATAAGCAAAACAAAGTTGTTGTTTTTTTAAAAATATATTTCTAATGCCAAAGATAATGGGACAAATAGCACAATCCAAAATGAGAGGCTTATTTGAACAAGGAGAGGAACTGGACCTGTCCTTTCACTGGCATCTGAGAAGTCCTGGATAAGGCAGGTCCCTCTATCAAGGCAAATCTGCCTCTTCTCTGCACTGGAGCTGGGGCATGGGGGCCACTAAACTTTGTACAGGGATCCTTGCAGGCCCTTGTTGACTAAGAAAACCACACACTAACATTATCTATGACATACTGTTTTTTTTAAATCATTTCCCAATTACATTTACTCTGACTCCAGTTGCACTCTATCACCTTGTATCTCTAATGTATACCGTTATATTAAATAAAGGATGGCAGCTCTTTATCCAAGTAACTCAGGTGCATTAACTAAGTCTCAAAAGTGAAGGGTTCAATTGAAATCATGTGAGGTGCCCTGATATCACTATATGCTTTAATTATAAAATGATAAAGAAAACTTAAGTGAAGAAAATGGTTCTAACCTGAACGGCTTTAGGATAAAAGTTTAGTTTTAGCATGAACTATGGGCATGGTACCCCTTTCCTGTAATCCCAGATAGGGGGAGGTTGAGACTCTGGATCTCTTGCTGCATTGGCCTCATTAGGCCTCTCTACTTCTCCACTAGTATGGATAATTAAGGGTTGACAAGAGTTGTAATAAGCAGAAAAAGGTCTTTGTCATTGACATGATAACAAAATATACTTAATCCAGTCCAGTCACAATTCAAACTAAGAGGCATCAGATACACTGATTGATTTTTGTTTGGCTTACTCAAGAGATCTTGACTACCTCATAAAGAGTGGACTAAAAGGATATTTTATGTAAGGCACTAGAATAAGTGTTGGGAACAATTGTGTTTTCCTTGAGACTTTATCTTATGTAGTAGTCATCAAAAACTTCTATGCCATACTCTGGGATAAACAGGACCACTAGTAAGGAAAATTAAATTAAGTGGTTGAAGAATTGAATGTCTAACACACAACCTTCTTCAAGTCAATAGCTCCATCTACTGGATAAAACAGGGAGCTAACTAAAAATTTCAGAAATATAGCTTAGAAGAAATCAAGTCTTTTTTCCCCCCCAAAAAAATCCAGGAACTGGTTTACAAAAATATGTAGGCTATCACTGAGACTTTGGTAGACTTTGTAAAATGCCAAATGTTAGATGATGGGCATTTTACAAATATCCATCAGAAGGACTTTCAGAATTTTACAAATGAGCCCTAGTCTTTAAGCCATCTCAATGTGAAATACCTCATTTTAAGATGATAACTGCTTATACTTTCTGGGGAACACAAATCAAAATTTTAAAATGATAGTCATTATTTTAATATAATGTGAATGTCATTTAAAGAATTCAGTGGTGAATCCTTCTACAAAGTAAAGCCCAAATTTGTCAACCTAACCTTGGTTATATACCTCAGTTGATGAGGGTGCCACAGGCCCCTAGAACAAAACTGGTTCTGGTATCTTACCCATGCCCCTTTAAGTGCAACCTCTTCTGACCCTCTTTCTGTGCCCTTATACAAGGCTCTGGCTGTCCAAAATTCCCAGTATGACATCTTACATAGGTCTTAGGGAGCATAGCAGGGGACAGAATGCTGGGCCTATAGTCAAAGTTGTTGTGAGGATCAAAAGAAATATTTGCAAGGAGCCTGACATACAATTAAGTGCTTAACAAATGTTTATTTCCTACCCTTCCCAAATTCCCCAAAGTGCTCCACCATCTAAAATTACCTTTTTCTCTTCAGAAACTGTTTTCTGAACTAGATAGTAGGGGAGGCAGGGAAATCTGATTAAAGTATTTCATACTAAAGGTACGAATAGAGTTTACCCCTTCTATTGGAAAAAAGATGACCTGGTTAACCCAAAACAATTGTTAATTGGGAGAGGGGAAATTTTTTTGACCAGAGGTCACCTTTGTCTCCATGACCTTCCTGCTAGTATACTAGGCAAATCAGAAAGAAAGGTCAGCTTGACATACCACTTCTTAAAGACTGCTGACCCTCAACATATAGCCTTTATGCTCAAAACTTTATTGCATAATTTCTTATTAACAGAATCTCAGAACAAATAGAGCACATATAACATAAGAATTCAAATGCATTTTTCTTTTGGGGTCACAGATCCAATACGGGAAAAAAAAAACAATAGAGGGCTACAAATAAGGCAAAGAAATTTTAGTAAGAAGTGTAGGCATGTGTATTAAGAGAAAAACAGTTCAGTGTGCCCTTTAAAATTAATAGGCAATATAAAATTTTACTGCATAAATATTACCAAAATTCATATTAGTTAAGGGGAAAAGATAAAAGGGAATGAGAGGGAGAAGGAAAGGAGAAAAGGCAGGGTGAAAGAAGACCTGGGGGTAGGATGAGAAAGATGATGATAAAAACAGAGAGAAGTATGAAGGGAAAAAGTATAAACAAAGAGAGCACCAGTGTCCCAAAGTATAGGGGAAAGATACCTTGGAACGTTAGGCCTGGAGAAAAGAAGATTCAGAGGGAACATGAATGCTGTCACATAAAGGAGGTACAGGACCTGTTCCCTCTGAGAATAATGTGAGCTCCAAGAGAACAGAGGACTGTTTTTGCCTTTCTTTGTGAACAACACGCAGAGACTGTAAAGAGAGCAATGTAGGCTTGATATCAGGCAGACCTGCCTCTCACAATCAGAGCAGAATAAAAGGTGTAAAATGCCTGGCCCCTGGAGGGGGATTCCTCCTGGAAACTTAGTGGTCTTCAGGTAGAGGCTGCACAAATAATACATGTTAGCCCTGGGATGGAAACTTGTATAACCATAATAAAAAAAAAAATGAGATGACTTAATATCTTTCACTTACATGGAAAAGTTTTTCTGTCTTAGGAAAAACTGCAACAATGTCATATAGCTTGACACGGGAAGACGTTGCTCTCTGTTGTGAGAAAAGAAAAAAATACCACCATAAGAGGAATGCATGCTTTTCTTTCCTTGCTACCTTGTACTATCTGTATTCTTTTTATATTTATTGTGCATATACATACTTTACATTTATGCTGTATATATTTACAAGTGTACTGATCTCCCCTTTAGAATATAAATTCCTTCAAAGTCAGGATGATTTCATTTCCTGCATTTGTGTTCCCCGTGGTTAGCACAGTGTCTGGAACACAGGCAGTGCTTAATAAATGCTCAGTGCTTTACTGGAAGGAACTCTGGCTCTACAAAACTTAACAGGGATGTGATCTTTGCAAAGTTACCTCAACTCTCTGGGCTTTAATCCTCCCCTGTGGCCCCATTTCACAGCTGAGGAAACTGATCAAGTCATCTCTAAAACTCCTTCTAGCTTTACAAAAATGTGAAGAGGCAGAAAGTGCTAAAGCCAAGCTTTTTTTTTACATCACAATTCTATTTGACGTGTTCCCTGTTTTTCTTTAGCAGTTGGGTTCTGCAAACTGAAACTGGAATCAGTTGCAATGACATGCTTGGCTGAGCAGGAACATGCCAGGGAGCCAAAGGTTGCATGCTAACACTACTTCAAACTGACTTAGGAAGTTAAAAAAAAAATTGTCCATTTTGTCACAAAGGAGCTTTTTTGCAGAGAATGTACTGGTCATAGAAAGTAGTCCTATGAGTAGTACAGACAATGCATGCTGCAAGAACTCAGAGAAGGAAGACATCATTTTGGGCTTAGATAATCAGAAAAATCTTTATGGAACAAATGGGATACATACTTTAAAACTGTAAAAGGATAAAAAGCTATTCCTTTCCATACTACTAAATAGTATTTGAAGGGGAAAAAATCACACGCATACTATGAGACGTATGTTAAAGAGAAAAACAAAACTGACTTACCAGAACATTGCAGTGAGATGGATCTGATACTATAAGTGTCAGTCTACTTAAAATTTTAATTGGTTTTGATTTCCCCTGTAGGTAAAAGAATCTATTAAAGAAGTACAAGGCATAACTGTTTCATTTTTCTCTTCACTAGAGAAACATATTAACTAAAAGAAATAGCACAGGAAGGCAAATCAACAATTATTTATATTTATTGAGTGAGCACAGCACGATCAGGTCCTCTGAGAAAAACCAAAAATAAAATGTCATCCTTATCCTCAAGGATGATACAATACAGTGGGATAAACAAAGTCTAACATAAATTACTGACACAGAACAGTTTATAATTAGGTATCTTCTGTACTATTGTTCAAAAGTGCTACAAGAGGTCAGTGAAGAGGAAACATAAGGAGGGCTGCAGTACATAAGAGAGGCTAAATGGATAAGCTGAGACTTGATGATGTCAGCTTTAGACTAGAAAATGGGAAAGCAGTGTAGATGAGGGGAATGATACAGATCAAATACAGCTATCAGATACTTAATTCTTTGAACATGAAAATGACACCTACTTGTACAATAGGCAAAGATGAAAAGAGCTCTGAAGGAACTAGTGGTTTGTCAATTTCCTGCAAAATAAAAACAGTTAAACCTAAATTGAGTAAATTAATCAAAAGTAGTATTAAGATGGATAACATAAAAAGCTAAATACACTATGAGGTTGGTTAGGTACTGGCAAATGGTCTTTCAGAAAAACTAGTGAAACACTCCTTGGACCTGTGTGAGAAAACGTGATGAGAAAAACTGGACAGCATGGAAGGACCATAATTCTCAGGTTATAAGAGTAGTCCACAATGGAATAAATGTTGAATACACATAGAAGGGAAAATTTAAACAAAAACGTGCATTAACTTTTAACAAGAACTTAAATTAAACTTAGCTCTTTAAAATGTAAACAAGAATGAATCCTTCAATATAGTCAAAACACTTTTACTCAGAAATTTCCTTAAATTTAATAAGCTATCCCAGTAACTATTTTCTAATTGTGTACTCAGCATATGTCCTCATGACCAAGCCTTATGTCAGAAAAAATTTTAATAAAATTGGTTTTACCATTATATTACTTTGCAGCTAATAAACCATGTTATGTGAACATCTATTTGTGAGTTACCTCAGTTGTTTTCCTACAATGGCAATTACAATGTACATTCCTGTAACAGATGTGGGTGGGTACCTCCATACATAGGATAGCTAGAAACCACACAAATGTAGTCTGCAAGACTTCAAAAGATCTGTATTCACTTTTTATGTATTGCTTCTAACCGTGGACAATGAAACCCATTAATGTTTTGGTAGACAGTTTTAAGTGCTGCCATAGCCACAAAAACCCAAATTATCACATGGCAGTCAATCTTCCAGGGAGGAGCCTCTCTAATTACAGCCAGGCTGGTTTTTGGATGACAGTCTGCCTCAAGGGCCTGCCAGTGCTTGTTCTACCAGCATATCCTTTGTGCAATCCGGGTCGATTTCAAATCATATGAGTTTCTTTGAGGAAAGCAACTGTTTTTGTCGTACTCCCAGCACACAGCACAGTGCTTGGTACATATGAGGTACTTGTATGGAGTAGGACTTTGTGGAGAAAGTAGCCTCATCATGTCACAGATATTTGAACTAATCTCTATATTAAATACACTGAAAATCCTTGGTGAAACTCAAATTAAGTAAACATAGCAGGGACTTCATACATCTTTGTTGAAAGAATGGAAATAAGTGCAAGTTTTCTGTGCTTAATTAAAATGCATGTTTTTAAGTAGCTTCTGCCATAGAAAAACACAAAGAAGCTGAAACACCATACTACTTTGTTACTCAGATACAAACACTGAGAAACTTACCTGCTTCTTTTCCTTAAAGTCCACAACATGATTAATGGCAACAGTCGAAAACCCAACTAAAAAATTAAACAAAAAGTTAAACACAATCTCCCTCTCCTAGAGGCCAATGACATACAGCTTTACCAAGATCTCAAGATTATATGAGGCTGACCCAGCACTAACCAGCCCCCAACTGTGTACTTCATTTCTTTAACTACAAGTTTCTTTTATGTACAGCAAACACTGAGGAGTCAGGCTCTATTTTCTATATCCTTTGAAATTCCCCCCAACAAACACAACCTATTGCATAATGTATAATCAATAAATTTGAGTGGTGCACTAATCAAAACAATTTTTTTACAAGTTCAGTGAACAGCATTTTAGTTTTTAAAGAAATCATTAAGTGTTGACTAAAAATAAACCAAGTGGCAGCTAGGTGGCACAGTGGATAGAGCACTGGACCTGGAGTCAGGAGGACCCGAGTTCAAACCTGGCCTCAAGACACATAACACATACTAGCTGTGTGACTCTGGGCAAGTCACTTAACCCCAATTGCCTCACCAAAAAGAAAAAAAAAAGAATAAACCAAGTATCTCCCATTTTCCATAGACAAATGTAGTTTAGGGGGAGTATCCCTGTATTAATTCCCTTATGGTTCCGTAGGCTTACTACGATGATAAAAATACACAAAGCTAGATGTCCAACTAAAGAAACCCGGTGATGACAAACAATGGATTCTAAATCAAATAGTCTGGATTCAAACTGGGACTCTGCTACTTACTACCAGTGTGAGCTTAGGTAAGTCATTTAACCCAAGTTCGAGTCTATGGGCTTCAGCTGCCTAATCTCTAAACTGAAGGGGTCAGGCTATTGATGCTGGATTTCTAAATCGATAATCCAAAAATGTGACTTCATAAACAAAGACCAGAAAACCAATACAACTTTCCAAACAATGAGTTCATATATAAATTGAGCATTGTCCTCTAGGACTCAATGTGCCAGCATTCGTTGTCCTCCGTGGAGAGTGAACAGTTCTGGGGGAGTTCCTCTGCCCCCCCCCCCTTCCCCCCCCCCCCCGGTAGTTTAGACAGGAAACTGAAGCATCGAGTTAAACCAAGGGGAGAGGGTGGGCTCCCCTCCAGCGGCTTTTCCAGCGGCTATTTTCCCAATAGCCCCGCCTGGGCTAGGAGTCAGTGTGTCCCTGGGCAGGCCACTTCACTTTACTGACAAGCCTCAGTTTCTGCTTGCGTGACGGTACACGGTTATATACATAACAGCTGACAGCGACGTCGCGCTTGGCAGTCGCGTGACGCTTTACATCCATCCCCGCCCTGGATCCTCACATCTCTAAGAGGGATGCAAAGCATGCATCATCCTCCACTGATCTAGGAGGAAAACGGATGCTGACATCGTGGGAGACAGACTGCTACACTGGCGGGAGTCGGAAAGGTCCCGGGCCATCACTTAGTCCTCCTTTTACACAGGACGAAACTGAGGATCAGGGAAGGTTCCGTGACTCGCCCGAGGTCACACTCAGGCCCCCGCGTGACACTGTCTCACTCGGTGGGAGAGCTTGGGACTAGGAGATCCCCGTGACCCCCTCGGCCCGGTCCGCCCCTCCCCCCCACGTGGCTCCCCTCCCTCCCAGTCTGGGGCTGAGATCCCGCGGCCTCCCCCACAATATACAAGGCGCTCGTAGAACGAATACCACAAAGCGTTCACGCCGGCTCGGGCGCCCCCCACACCACCCGATTCCATGGTGGGGCACTCACGGTGAGCGGCGTTCTCCAGAAGCCCCTTAAGCGCTTTCGTGTCAGAACCCTTCTTCAGGTTCAAATCCGCAAACACCGCCATGCCGGCATCACGTGACAAACGATACACGTTCTCCAAGCGTCTGCGCAGTCGCCGATGTTGCTCTCCCTTACACCGCCCCTTTCTCTCCTTATCCTAGTGCATTTTGGGAGTTGTCCCTTTTTTGAGTCTCGTACCTCCCCGCCCTCCGCTTCCCCCCCTTTCCCCACCTCCCCTCGGAAATACTGTTCAAAGCTCGGGAACTTTTCTAGTTTACACAAGCGCAAGCAGTTGTTAAAATAGCCAGCGCCTTGAAAAACAATGTTTCCGAGTTGCCCCGTCTCCTCCTTCCTCCCTGGATCGGGAACCATCGGTCTCCCTCGGTTCGGTAGCATGAGCCACTCTGGCCTCCCGAGGCCTAGTTTCCATGGTAACCGGAGGTCAATACTAGTTCTCCCCAGTCTCCCAGCCCCGCCCCACTCCGCTCTGGACCAGCCCAGGCCGGAAGGGGCGTTGAGTCCCCCAACGTGGCTTAGTGGAGTGATGCGGTGGTGGTGAAAGGGGTGAGCTGAGCAGGTGACTTATTCTAAGAAAAATAATTTCTTAGAAGTGGGAAACAAATCAAATTCATCCTTTGGGCAATAATAGGTTACACACATTTATAGAGTCCTTTGGCATCACAGGACTAGAAATAAAGGGTGCAGGATTTAGAGTGGAGAAATTGGGTTTGCATCCCAGCTGCGCTAATCGTCTGTTGAATATTTCCAGTTTATCTTGTATACACCATGTTTGTACACAGTTGTTTGCGTGTTGTCACCCCAATTAGACTTGCGCTCCTTGAGAGCCGGGGCTGTCTTTGACCTTCCTTTGTATCCCCAGTTCTTAGCATATGTTGTTATTGCTAGTCGTGTCTGACTCTTTGTTAACCCTATCCACCATACCATGGCTGGCCCTTCTATCCTCCACTACCTCTCCAACTCTCTCTGAGTTCATGACACTATCTATCCATCTCATCCGCTTCTCTTTTTGCCTTTAATTTTTCTCAACATCAGGGACTTTTCCAATGAGTCCAGTCTTCTGATCATGTAGCCAACGTATTTAAACGTCAGCTTCAGTATTTGACCTTCTGGTGGATAGTCTGAATTTATTTAAGTATTGACTGATTTGATCTCCTTGTTATCCAAGAGACTCTCAAAAGTCTCCAGCACTAGAATTCAAAAGCATCAATTCTGCAGCGCTCAGCTTTCCGTATACTCCAAGTTTCATAGACCTATGTTGCTACTGGAAAAACCCCATAGCTTGGGCTATAGGGACTTTTGTTGGCAAAATGATGTCTCTGCTTTTTAATATACTGTCCAGATTTGCCACAGCTTTCCTTCCAAGGAGCAAGTGTCTTTTAATTTCATGGCAGTAGTCACCATCTGCAGTGATCTTTGAGTCCAAGAGTATAAAATCTGATACTACTTCCATTTCTTCTTTCTCTATTTGCCAGGAAGTGATGGTACCAGTCGCCAAGATCTTAGTCTTTTTATTGTTAAGTTTAAGCCAGCTTTTATACTCTCTTCCAATAACTCTCCAACAACACTATGTCATCAAGAGGCTAAATTCCTCTTCGCTTTCTGCCGTCAGTGTAATATTGTCTGCGTATCTGAGATTGCTGATATTTCTCCCAGCAGCTCTAATTCTGCTTTTGATTCATCCAGCCTGGCATTTCACCTGATTTACTCTGCATAAAAGTTAAATAAATAGGGTGACAGTATACAGCCTCGTCTTACTCTTTTTCTAATCTTAAACCAATCAATTGTTCCATATTTAGATAACTGTTGCTCTTTGGCCTACATACAAGTTCCTCAGGAGATGAGTGAGATGATCTTCCATCTTTTTGAGGACTTGCCACATTTTGTTATGATCCACATAGTCAAAGGCTTTAGTGTGGTCAATGAAGCAGAAATAGACTTTTTTTCCGGAATTCCCTTGCTTGCTCCATAATCTGTTGAATGTCAACAATTTGGTTTCTAGTTCCTGTGCCTCTTCAAAAACCAGCCTGTTCTCATAATTCTCGGTTCACATATTGCTTGAAGAATCTTAAGCATAACCTTGATGTGTGAAATGGGTGCAATTGTTCGGTAATTTAAACATTCCTTGGTATTGGCCATCTTTAGGATTGGGATGTAAACTGATCTTTTCCAATCCAGTGGCCATTATTTAGTTTTCCAAATTTGCTGGCATATTGAATGCAGCATTTTAACAGCATCATCTTTTAGGATTTTAAATAGTTTAGCTGGCATTCCATAATCTCCACTAGCCTTATTCTTAGCAATGCTTCCTAAGGCCCGCTTGACTTCATTCTCTAGGCTTTCTGGCTCTAGATCAGTAACCACAGTGGTTATTGGTGATAGTAAGATTTTTTTTTTTTTTGGTATAGTTCTTTGTTGTATTCTTGCCACCTTCTCTTAATATCTTGCCTTTCCCATTCTATTGTTTTCTTCTATTTCTTTATATTACTCATTTAAGAAAACCTTTTTATCTCTCCTTGCTATTCTCTGGAATTCTACATTCATTTGGATATGTCTTTCCCTTTCTCCTTTCCCATTCACTTTCCTTCCTTCCTCAGTTATTTGTAAGGCCTCATCAGACAGCTATTTTGCTTTCTTGCTCTTCTTTTTCTTTAGGATGCTTTCTGTTGCTGCCTCCTGTACAATATTGTGAACTTCCCTCTGTAGTTCTTCATGCACTCTGTCTAACATACTAATGCCTTAAATCTACTTATCACCTCGACTTCATAAGGGATATTATTTAGGTCATACCTATATGGTCTGATGGTTTTCCTTACTTTCTTCAATTTAAGTCTGAATTTTGCAATAAGAAGTTCATGATCTGAGCCACAGTCAGCCCCAGGTCTTGTTTTAACTGATTGTATAGAGCTTTTCCACCTTTGGCTGTGAAGTATACATTAGTCTGTTTCTATATTGACCATCAGATGATGTCCATGTGTAGAGTCACTTTTTTGGGTTGTTGGGTTGTTGGAAAAGACTGTTTGCTGTGACCAGTGAGTTAGCTTGACAAAACTCTAATAGTCTCTACCCTGCTTCATTTTGTACTCCAAGGTCAATCTTGCCTGTTATTCCAATTATCTTTTGATTCCCTACTTTCGAGTTCCAATTCCTTAAGATGAATATGATGTCTTTTTTTTGGTGTTATTTCTAGAAGATGTTGTAGGTCTTCATAGAACTTATCAACTTTGGCCTCTTTGGCATCAGTGTTTGGAACAGACTTGTATTACTGTGATGTTGAACAGTTTGCCTTATATTCAAACAAATATCATTCTATCACTTTTGATATGACATTCTTGTCCACAGTAGTATATGTAATGGTCACCTGAATTAAATTTACCCATTCCCATCCAATAGGTTACTGGGAAAGAGTGGAGGAAAACTATGAGTAGTTCCAGTGCGAGTGAAACAACTGGACTGAAGCTGAACGGAAGCTCAGCTGTGGATGCGTCTGGTGATGAGAGGAGAGTCTGATGCTGCCAAGATCAATATTGCACGAGAGCCCCAAATGTAGGACATAGTAGGCACTTAATAAATGTTCACTGACTAACAGCTCCTTAATAACCTTGTGAATCCAGGTAAGTTACTGTCTGTGCCTTATCTAGAAATGATGAAGTCTCTTTTTTGCCTCTAAGATAAAGTATAAACTCTTCTTTTTAGATTTTAAAGTCCTTCACAGCTTGGCCCCAACCTTTCCTTTTAAAAAAATATTATTATTATTTTTTGAATTTTGATTTCCAAATTCTCTCCCTCCTTCCTGCCCCAACCTATTTTTCAAGACTCATATATTAGTCCCAACCAAACTGGTCTTTTCTATGTTCTTCACTGTCCTCCATCCCTTATACCCCTTCTTCTTGACTCCTGGAATATCTTCCCTCCTCTTCTCAGCCTCATACAGCAGAATCCCTTTCCTTCTTTAAGACATACCTCCAGCACTAACTTTCCTTTCTGGCTCCCAACCCTAAATGCTAAGAGCAGTCCCCTCTCTGATGATCTAAGTCCCCAAGTAAACGGAGAGGCAGGAGAGGAGATGGAATGGAATGGAATGGAAGTGAGTTGGAGAGACTTTAGACCATGTATAGATGTTCTTGAACTGTCCTGTTGACTGAACCTGTGGTGGACAGAGGCCTCTTGGCTGTTCCTTAATGCCACTATAATCAAACATAAACTCCTCTGTTAGACATTTAAAGCCTTTTACAACCTGGGTACAGCCTATTATTCCAGTCTCATTGTTTCCCTTTCCACAATCTACTATCCTATCAAACTAGCCTCCTTGCTCTTTCTCACATACTACCCCGCTTCCCAGAGATCCCAGTCTTTGGGTTGGCTGTCTTCCCTTGTGTAGAATGCACTCCCTCCTCATCTCTGCCTCTTAGAATCTCTTTTTTCTTTCAAAACTCAGCCTAAGTACCAGTTTCTATAAGAAGCCTTCCCTGATTCCCTAGTTGCTAGTTCCCTCTCTACAAAAATTATCTGATATTAATTTTTACAGATATTTATTTATGTACATCTTGTTTTCCCTAATAGAATTTTTCAGGGCAAAGAATTTCATTTTCATCTTAGCATCCCTAGTACCCAGCATAATATCCTACATGTAGCAGGTTCTTACTAAATATTTGTTTATTGATCCTTATTTTATAATAGAATCATTCTAGAATACTACAGAAAACAGAATAATACAGCATGATAGCTGTGCAAATACCGTATGTAATTTTATTAGATTTTCAAATAGATTGAATGTTGAATTATTTCCCATCCTTTAAAACCCGATGAAAATGTCCACTTTTCTATAAAGTTGTCCCTGTTTCCCCCTATTGCATCTGGTAATGGTTTTTCACCCTTGGAGTTCACATGGTATATATTATTGTTATTCTACTATATTGTAAACCTCACGAGGAGATGAAATTTATCTTATCTAAACTTTATTTAATCTCCTCCTTTCTTAGCACAGTGCTTACCACACAGGAGGTGCTTAATAAACATAAATGTCTATTGAATTGAATCAAATGGACTATCTTCTCTGCTACCCTTTCTAATGTCA